CAGCTTCTCCAGGAGAATGCTGTGGGAAATGGTGTCAAAGGCCTTACTGAAGTCAAGGTAGACCACATCCACAGCCTTTCCCTCATCCACTAGGCGGGTCACCTGGTCACAGAAGGAGATCAGGTTGATCAAGCAGGACCTGCCTCTCATGAACCCATGCTGTCTGGGCCTGATGCCCTGGTTGTCCTGCACGTGCCTTGTGAGTGCCCTCAAGATGAACTGCTCCATAATCTTTCCCGGCACCGAGGTCACACTGACAGGCCTGTAGTTCCCCGGATCCTCCTTCTGGCCCTTCTTGTAGATGGGCGTCACATTTGCTACCTTCCCAACTGGGACCTCCTTGGTTAGCCAGGACTGCTGATAGATGATGGAGAGTGCCTTGGCGAGCTCCTCTGCCAGCTCCCTCAGCACCCTCAGGTGGATCCCATCCGGCCCCATAGACTTGTGAGCATCCAGGTGGTGTAGCAGGTCATTGACTGCTTCCTTTTGGATTATGGGGGGTTTATCCTGCTCGCTGTCCCTGTCTTCCAGCTCAGGGGACTGAGTACCCTGAGGAGAACTAGTCTGCCTGTTAAAGACTGAGGCAAAGAAGGCATTAAGTACCTCAGCCTTTTCCTCATCCTCAGTGACAATGTTCCCCCCCGCATCCAATAAAGGATGGAGATTCTCCTTGGCTCTCATGTGTCATTAATATATTTGTAAAAACACTTTTTATTGTCTCTAACGACAACATGCCCAACATGATCAAACCATTACACTGCCCACTCTCTGCTTGTTCCAGGGACAGAGCCTTCAATACAGGTATTGATAGCAAAATTAGCATGGTGTACAAGACAGAGGAATCTGCGAGGTGGCCCAGGAGGAGCCATGTTATCAGTCGAGAGAATATCAGGGCATTACTCCGGTTTAAGAGAAGTTAAACTTTGTAATGCCTTACTTGTGAAAGCTCACAACAACCCAAATGTCATCCTTGTAAGATCAGAGCCAAATAGCACTTCACTCGAAGTGTGCTACTTCCAGGCAGGATTCTCTCTGTTCTTCTTTTCTTTTTTTTTTTTTTTTTTAAGAACATTATGCGGGCCCACTTGAATCAGAATATACTAATTGGATTATATATGCTGCATTTGATCAAGTAATTGAAATAAATTGAAGGGCTAATGATGACTCACTGTTTTGGTGAACCCCCATGGAATAAACAGCCATAACATGGAATTAGCCTGTTTCATGAAAACATTTTCTGAAGTTATGGTCTTTGATCAGCTCTCCTATGGCAAATTGACACTGCACCGATGATCATAAAATCAATGTGCAGGGACAGAAATTGTGTTGCTGTTTCAGTGGAACGAAGAGCATGCCCTGTGGGTGCCATGCACATTTTATACCTCTCCCATGACCTTTTTTAAACCTGTTGACAGGGCTACAAAAAATCATATTCACCCTCAATGTTTCCCTCAAATGTAGTCCCTTCCCATAGCTGTAGCTCATCTCTGAGTAAGGCCTTGAGCTCCAGCTTCCCACATGAACAAGTTCACTCTTTTGCTTGCTTGATGCCCCAAAGACATCTACTATGGCTCTGAGGAGCACTGGGTGAATCTCTGCTCACATCCCTGAATGCCATGTACTCCCCAAGCACCTCTGTTTTGGGAGCCGAAGGTTGTGTCTTCCTTGCCTGCAGGGGTAGCCACAGAACAGCAAAAGAAAAGGCCACCTCTGCCTGCTTCCAAAGCTGTCATTCATTAGCACTGGTCGCTGCTCACCAGTGCTGCAGTGTGTGACTAATAGCAGTGGGCTGATGCTCAATGCTGCGTATCAGGGCAGGGCTGAACTCTCCCCTACCATGCCTCTGAGCAGCACAGTGCTAAAGGTGGTCTAAACATTTCATATGATATTATCAGTCTGTCCTGCAAACCACAGGGAACGTAGCAATGCAGGGAAATACACTCCAAATGCTAAATACATGCCATAACTGTCGGCTTTAAGGATAACCAGATTCACAGAGGTAGGGAAAAGGTATCAAAACAAACCCTTGTCTCTCAGATGTTGTGATGTATACTGTTGCAAGCAGAAGTACTGATAATCAGGAAACTATTCTACTACATCAATATACTTGACAAGCTAAAAAATAGCTACAAAATTTCATGAATATTTCTGTGTAAATTGCATTTAAATTAATGTCAGTGCTTCCCCTTGTAGATTCCAAATTAGCAGCTATTCTTCTGTTAATGTAAATTTAACTTGTTGTTGTTTTTCTTTACTTTTGTACCAGCCTGATTCCAGTAGAAACTGAAGCACAAACTTCAGAAGGATGCTTCTCAAAGCGTCCAGATGGCAACAATAATTATTTATTATCTTTAGCTACCATGATTATGTTGCCCAATCTGTGATATTATAAATCAGTTTTCAGATGGTCATAGGAGTTGTACCAAGTTTAGTGAAAAAAATTGCTCATTATACGTTTGTTCAGAAGGATTGAACAATCAGAGAACTGCAGTTCTTTCAACATAAGTAAATCTATATGGAAGTTTAGAACTAAAAGGGACTCTGGGCATGGAGGGGCCAGCGTGGTGGGATGCGTACAATGAGGAATACACCATTCATGTGGCACAGAGTCTGGGTTTCTCTGAAATCCACACAGTCAAGGGCTGCACTATTTTCTTTTTACTGGAGCCAAATTATAGTGTAAAATGGGACAAAACTCTGCTTTGGGCTAATGCAAAAGCATGGCGTTCAGTTGCAAGAGCACTGAGATTCTGAAGTGAGGGTGCAGCCCCAGTGCAATTTTTGAGATTTGCATGTTTTTATTACAAGCTTGCATAGGCTTTGCCCTCCAGAGTTTATTTTTTCCCTTAACCTAATTCTATCCAATCTGCCATATTTTCTTAGTAATGTTCTGAGGCCACAATTTTTTTTTTTTTTCTTGCTGGAAAAATTAGCTCTAACTGTTCTATATTTGCAGGGTAATGGTGACATTGGAATGAAGGGAATGGCACACTGATTTTCAGCAAGGCTTTCATAAATTGTCTGCTTAGATTTATGATATGTCACTTGATTTACAGCACTCCTTTTTTTGTGTATGCTGTTGTCTGTTAACATTTCTACAATAAACCTCTTTTTTTTTTAGCTTCTTGGAGTCTAAGGTAACACATCTTTACAATTGTATTTTTAAATTTGGATAATTTGATAGTCATAATTGCTGACTCTTAATAAGAATAGAGCTTCTTTTCCAGGATCCTATTTCTTCTTGAGTCCCTGATGCCTTTGTTTTTCATCTTACAACTACTGTTGAAAAAAAATGCAGTTTAAATTTTAAAGGTGCTAAAACTTACTCTGACAAATAAATCTGTCTTCTAGTATGCTCAGAATTGCTCCTAAGTTTGATGTATTTTAGACTCCTCAGGGTCTCCAGGTTTTTCTGGAAGATAGTCAGTGGTCAAAGGTGCTAAGTTTCTATTTTCTCAAGGCATGAAGACTGAATTTTGTTGTTTTTATAATGAACACACTATAGTATCTTGATTGGAGGGAGTTCAAGGAATTTTCCCTCACATCCCTTCAGGCTGTGCACTTATGGCAATTAAGAGTCTATTTATGGTCCAGAGCATCATTTCCCATGCTGTAGTATATAAATGCTGTCCAAGTGAGTGCCTCTTCCTGCTTGTGTGCATTACCGAGGGCTGGTCTTGCCACCATCAAGGGTAGTATATTAATAGATCACATTCTCCCTCCAGCTGAAGGGAAGAAAAATGATGATTCAGATAACTGTTACAAACTCACAGGAGGCCCTTCAGGATCCACAAAGCTCCTGTTTTCCTTTTGCCCATCACTGGCTAATACTTGTCACTGGAAAACATCTCTTTGACACCTGGTGTTACCTACCCCGGCTCATGCTGCTCAGTGGGAAAGAAGTTCCCTTCCCTTGTGGTATCCATGAAAGTTACATATACAGTTTTACAGAAAGGCACAAGACTGTTTTCAAAGACTGCTAGGAGGAGGAATGTAATGCTTTGTTGTTTGCCAGTTAGTGGTCAATTGCTCTCAACAGTAGAGAAATATGGAGGTACAAGCATGGCAGGAACATATTACAACAGTATTAACAATGGGGTTGTTAGGTCCAGAAACAGATACACAGAACTAACTGAAACCCACGATGATCACTATTTCTATATTGGATTAATGCCAAGGTCAGCTCTCTCTGTTTCAGCTGACAAGCTGCCAGACTGCTCACATGCACTCGGTGTGCAGCATCAGTTTTTCAGCAAAATCCTCAGGTCAGCTATTGCCTTTATTGTCTGGGACCAGCCACCACGGTGGGCTTGCTTAGTCCTTTGTGGATGAATCACCTCCATGGCTGTCTTTAATCCCTGTATTCACAGCCATGTCCCCAAGGTCCTTAGGTTGGTCCAACACCAGGAGTGTGATGTGATAACCGACAGCTTTGGAAATATCCCCAAGCATGTCCAGTATTGTTTCCGGCTGTCATAGCCAGGGTTCTTGACTGTCTGCTGCTCTTACCATTGTTTCTCTTTCTTTGAGCACACTGCAATAGAGCATGTGGGTAATTTGCAAGGTAGTGAGCTACAAGGTGAACATCTCATGTAACTTGATCTGTATTTTTCTTTCCTTTTTTTTCTTTTAGTTTGAGGTCCATTAGGCTATTTTCCCACGTAATTTAAGACTGAAGACATTGTTGTGATTTGGATTTTTTTTTTCCTTCCCTTACTGCAAGTATGTTTCCTAGTAATTTAAGAATTTTTCTCCAAACTTGCAAATTGTCAGGAGGCTTTTACCTCCTAATTCATTAGGTAGCTATGGTTAGGCTTCCTATGGCATAGCCTAGACTCGCATGCATCTACAAAGGGAGCCAAAGAAGTGTGTGAAGTTGATTATAAGAAATGCCAATGACATGGCTCATGTTCTCTCTGCTCTTGCAAGGACACAGACGATTTCTGCTGTGATTTGGGAGCATGTCTGTCTTGGGCAGATTTCATACGGAGATCAAAACAAGGACTGAACAAGATGCTTCAGACAGCACTGCTGAGGAAAAAGAAGAACAAATGCTGTCCAAGACAGGAAAAGAAAAAGGAGAAAAATATATTTCCTATCATCTTGTAACTGTTGACTAAAAGAGCTTACATTTAAGGCCTGGCTTGTCAAGAAATATAGCAACATCTGGTTTTGCAAAGCATGCTGCAAGCCTTTGAATATAGACAAAGCATAAAACTCCTACCCATATGACAATCGGACTCCATGTACAAAATAACAAGGTTTTTTCAGACCATATGAGGTGTATTACCAGTTACTTTACTGCCAAGAACTATGAAGAAAGATGCAGCAAAGAATTTGCCACTGAAGATGATCGTTTGTCTAACTTTATTCCTTGAATCTTTTACTGGAACCTCCTTAAGCTCTGATTTAGCAAGGCAGTGACTTCTCTTGAGACTTTGTCTGCTGCTGTTATCCTCCCCAGCTGTCCACTCTGTCTCTACTGCAAGGCTGGGTAAAATCAGTGAAGGTGATTTTAGAGAGCCATGATGATGCCTGTGGCCTTTGCATACTTCTTTCATGAATAATTGGGCTGTCCATGTGCTGAGTGGGGAGGGAAGGTGGAAATCTCTAAGCCTTTTCAGCTATCGTAAGAGATAAGATCATTGAAATAATCAAGGATAAATGCTGTCTGTGTACTGTTTTAAAGATGTTGTGCCTATTAAATTTTCTCCTGATCTTTTCTAATTATCTTTAAATTTTAATTTGGTATTTCTAGGTATGTTCTGAGGCAGAGGAACACAAGAATTCTGTGGTGGAAATAAAACCTGGAAGGAGGACACACCAAATCAGCTCTGTTCCTGGATGATTGGGGGTAGCTTGTACTTCTGCCAAGGTACAAAGGATACACTAAGTTTAAAGGTTTGCCAGCTAGGGCTCAGAAGAACTTTCTCAAGGGAAAAGAAAAAGTCTCCTGAAAAAAAACCTTCAGACAATTCTCCTTTTCCCCCCTTCATCTAAAGAAAAGTAGCTGAGGTGCGGTAATAGCACAGTCTGACACAGCTGAGAGCGAGCCTGTGCACAGTAATCAGAGGGAAAACACAGGGACCAGGATTGTCTTTTAATTTGCCCATTGCCTGAGGATGAAGGGAAGCTACTGTCAGTCACAAAGTGCAAAGGAAGATATTCTAGTGTGCTCGGGACTGCAAAAGGGGCTCTGTTATCCCTCCAGTGATCTATGAGTAATTTCTGACATAAAACCTCCAAGTCACTTGCCAAGCCTATTTGAGAGAGAACGGTAACAAACATTTCTTCTAGGAGTTCTGGAGGAAAAAAAAAAGAAAAAAAATTCCCTCCTGCCCTTTATTTTGCCTGGTATTATCTGCTGTACAAATGTCATTAAGTGACATTTCTCTCCTAGAGGCCATCCAGTATATATGAGGATTATTATTCCCCCCTTCTTCTCTCTCCAACTGAAAAACAGATAGTGGCTGACAGTTAATGAGGGGGACTCTAATCTGACAGTGCTATGAAAGCTGCTGCCAGAAAAGATCTTGATAATGGCATAAGAAATCCTTTCTATCTTAGACTACCATTAAGGCGCCTGTCTGCAGCATGGAATTCAGGATATTCTCCTCTAATAGAAGCTTGTTAGATCTGTATCCTCTTATACTTCTGCGACCTGTTTAAGAGGAAAACTCAAAAAAGTTGTAG